TGCCAGCTGCTGTCCTTTCTTCTGACTAGGACAGCTGGCACCATTCAGGGATTACTGGACCATTTGATAACACCAGCCTCTGCCATCTCCTTGATCTTCTGCTACAAAGCAGCTCTCTTGGTGAGAGGCAGATGGTGGGGACAGAGGCAGACCCAACAGGTGGCCCTGGTGTCAACATCATGCTGCCTCAGATTAGTACGAGTACAGTCCTCATCCCTCGTAGTGAAGATGTCAACAAACTTCCAGTAGGCTCTGCATCTGGTGTCTCTGACTTCGCCCTAAGCCTTCGCAGTTCCTCTCATACAGCTCTTTGAGGGACTGCTGGGTCTCTGCTGTCACTGGAGTAGTCATCTTTGGCTGCAATGGTGTACTGGGACCCTCAGCCGGCAGTGCTGGAAACAGTGGGGTGCTAGCCCACCGCATCCTTTCATCACTGGCGCTGTGAAAAACCACAGTTGCCATACCCAGGTGAATGCTCCCTCATGTGGTCAGGAGGTCCAGGCTGATGGTGCAGATGTCTTCTAAGTGGTCCAGCCAGAACTGGTAGTCAATGCTGACTCCAGTAATTGTCAACCAGAGAGGCTTCCTTCTCCTCATCTTGGTGCACATACCCTTGACAATGATGAATGACAATATGCTGTTCTGTGGCATTTCATCCAGTTGGTTTTTTTGGTCGATGGTATTGGGAAGGATTCCGGAAAGACTGTGAACCACGTCTACTAAAACCTGGCAGTGGGTTCCATCACAGTCCAGATATAGCCCATGAACCGACTAAGTCAGCCAAGACTCTGGTTCCACCTCAGGAAGGAAGTGTTGTAGGGTGGCAGCTCCTTATCCCGCCATCGTGTCCTTGTTTGTACAGTGGAACCTCGGATTATGAGTAACGCGGTTTACGAGTGTACCGCAAGACGAGCAAAGCTTTTTAATAAATTTTGACTTGGAAACCGAGCAAGTCCTGGTTTACGAGCGCCAAGTATCATCAAAAATCATATGGCACACATGCGCTCCTTGTTTTTCTTGTTTTTACATGCGCTCAGCTTCAAAACAGGAAGCGCATGCGTGCGCTTCTTGTTTTGACGCCGAGCACACGTCATCACAACTGAACCAATGGTTATTCACTTTTTCACACTGCAGAGTTGTGGGTAATCGTCTCCCATGCTCGGCATGCCTCACTTGTATAGTCAAAATTTAGTAGAAAAGCACCACCTGAATAAGGGCGTAGCAGTGCGAGCGATGAATCTGTTTACCGACAATGCAATGTCCACATTTTTGCGAAATCGAAAAGGAGGCAAAAGAGGCTGTCATTGGATGGGTTCCTTGTTAAAGTCGCACAAACAGAAAAAGATTCCAGTGAGCCAACAGATAGCAGTGATTCCGTTAATTATAGTGAAAGTCGTCCTACAAAATAACCCTTCTCTTCTCCTCTCTCCCTCACACCATCCATGATTCTTTTCAAAGGTAAAGCACAGGTTAATTTGTTTTATGTATTTTTACTTTATATTTTGTATTAATAATTTTTATATGAATATTTTTGAGTTGTGGAATGGATCATATGAGTTTCCATTATTTCTGATGGGAAAATTCGCTTTGATATACGAGTGCTTTGGATTACAAGCATGTTTCCGGAACGAATTATGCTCGTAAGGTGCCACTGTACTTGGGTGCTATACATCTATAGCCCCACTATAGCTGGTAATTCAGCCACGTGCTGCTGGATGGTAACTGGTGGTGTCTGTTGGTGGCTGGACTGAGGCAATCGCTATATGTAGTTAAACAAAGGCCTGGATTTTGTGGTCTGGAGGTGCTGTCATGCTCACTGGCTACCCCGCATGCACTCTAACTCCCACTATGGGCTCACTGACTTCGGGATAAATGGTCCTTAGCTACTCAATTTAAATGTTGAAATAAGTCGACAGGTATGGATGTAACTTCTATAACATGAAATGGTAATGTGGCATAAACAAATGCATCTAAGATTTTGTACAGCTTGTTCGTGTATTAATGCAATTTAACATCGAATTTCTTATTGAATATGTATTTAAAAACCTTTATGCACTCATTTCAACCTTAGTCACTTTAGTCACACACAGCAGCTTTTTCCAACACTGATGAAATAATCTGAGTAATGGTGAGATTGGAGTCTTGTTTTCCTGGCACTCCAGAATGCGTGTAGCTCGCACGCAACACTTATATGGCAGGAGTGTCTGTAATTTGTGGTTAGACTTTGGTAAAAGCACATTATTCATCTCTTGCTTTTTTACCTATCCATGCTAAAAGATTAAAAACTAGCCAGTTCTATTTTTTAATGCATTTTCTGGACCAGTGGTCATTGTTGGTCCCGTGCTTCACGTTGAGAAAAAACATTGCAGTTCAGGGCACAAACATATTTGGCTGAGGGTGTCGATCGATCATTGCTTTGCTGTGCTGCTCCATTTGGCTAAAGGAGATGCTTCGATGCACATCCAGGAATGACTCATCGTCTCCGTGGAGACACAGAGGAATGAACGGTGAATGGCAACCAACTGTTGTTGTGTGTGTCTCTCTCTCTGTTGAAACAGGATGGCTTGCCCTCATCACCCTCCTCTCAAAAAAAAATAACACGCTCATGAGTGGTTTCCAGCTTGAAATGTTACATCTGGTTTGTGGTAACAACTAAATCAGCGCACAAGGCTTGGTTGCCCTTGGTTGTTCATCAGTTTACCTCACTTTTAAGAATGCCTAACCTCCCCCAAATGGTGGCTAATGTGGTTTAATTTATATCCTTCTTCAGCTCCAGGCTCGATTGATCCATATATTTCATTAGTACAATGTTACACTAGATAAAACTGAAATATTTCCTCTTTACTGTATTCCCAGTAATCTTTTATTGTACTAACTGTGCTATGTGGTAGACATTATTCATTGTTTTTCAGGAACAGTGTCCTAGCTCGGTTCTGGTGTCTGAAAAGGGTGTAACATGGATTCATCTGAAGAGGGCTGGGGGATGTCCACTTGGGAGGGGGGCGGGTGCCCACTTGTGTGTGTGGGGGGGTGGGGGTGGTGTCCACTTGCTTTTTGCATTTGAAAATCTCAGATATTACCATCTGCCTCTCACTTCAAGATCAACTTTTTTTGTTATAAATAGTTTGATTTTTCATCACTGCATTCTTAATGATGTACCAAAATTTGCCCGGACACAGGCCCAGGTGCCCCCCCTCCCTCCCACTCCAGCCCCTCCGGTTCCATGGCCCATGGGGTGTAACAATAAATCGTTTATCAAGGCCTCATAGAGACTGCAGTATCACAGTACCATCCATATCCTAATTAATTTGATCAGAGTGTTCTTTTTTTATTCCAGTCGAGTTTTTAAATGGGTTGGTGTTTTAAAATGTGTGACCTCTAATACGAGAGACCAAGTAAAAAGGTTTGGAAGAGAAGGAAAGCTCTGCTGGAGGACAAATGCTAGCTGGCCTTGTAGTTTGACAGTTGTCAGATCCTGCTGCCTGTTTCAGGCGACCATGGGATGTCACTTGCTAACAGCTTGTGGTTTTGGGCCGCAAAGTCGACTGACACTCCATATGAACATGTTGTTGGGGTTACTCATCTTTTTACTGTTCCATTTCTACTGAAGCATCTAAGGAAAAGTACATTTCTCATGTAAATGAATAACCCAAGACTTGCCATTTTCTATTTCTCTAACTGCTGCATCCTCTGTCACCCTGCCTGACCACCGCTGTTTAACTCTGACAAAGCAATCATTTTTCATCCCTTAAACATCAGATTGATGTTGAAGTTTTGCTACCCAAATGGACCAATTTATTCAAAGAAGTGTCTTTTGGGGATACATGTTTACAGAAGGCAACTTTTATGCAAACGGCATTTGGAATGGCATACATAATTCATTAAATATTAAATTTACCGTAAATCTGAAGGACTCTTTCGCTAATATACAGATGAAATCCCATAATGCACTGATTTGTGCTGAATTCCTTATTAATGTGGTGCCTGTGAGGCATTGGGGTGAACTTCTCCATTCCCTTCCCTTGTCAGTACTTAGTTCTGATTATAAATAGCACAGTATAGCCCCCATCTGACCATTCCAAGTAATAAAGCTTTCAATTTATCACTATTATTAGTGAGACTTCAGTCACAGGACTTATACAGCAGGTCAGGGAAAGACAATTAGTGCTCAAAATAATGGGGCTTGCTTGACACCTTGAAGAGCCCAAGAGTAATAGACTGAACATCTGAGTGAGACAGAAAGGTACTGACAGCTGGTTGGGACATGCATACCTCACTCTGCATCCAGGGCGGTGTCCATATCTGGTGCAATGCAAAGAGCAGCCTGCTAACATGTGTTTGTGTATGTGATTGATGTTGAACTGGCATTCAGTACAGAAGCAGTCATCACTAAGGAGGCTACAATTTTCTCTTGTCTGTCACCTTCTTAGTCTTCAATGTCCAAAGATCTGCCTTCTCCAGGGTTTGAACAAAGAGGATGTTGATTAATTTCATGTTCTGCGTTTTTGGACCTGGTTCTTCCAGAATGAAGTGACGTTGGATCCAAGAGAGTTGAAATTATGTGGGTGGTCTTTACTTTCATAGAAGCAGAAATGTCAATAGGAGACCAGGGGGAACATCATAATCCCCAAGTTAATAAATACTTTGACATTTCACAGCACATATCTATCAGGTTCTATGTGGAAATAAAACCTTTTGTTCAAGCAAAACCAAGTCTGACGAGCATTCAGTCATAAGAAACTATTATTCCATACCACTTCTGGCTGGAACATTTAAATAAGGCGTGTCCTTTGATAATTTCATACTGTAAAATACAACATTTATTTGGTTTTTAATGGATAAAACTGATGACAAGGTTTGTCCATTCTCCACTTAGTGTGACAATGCAGGTTATTAAATGCATTCTTTATAGATAAGTAAAATTTGTGTACGATCACACTGACATACTCAACCAAAAGAGTGACGCAGGTATTTGAAAGACACACTTTTAAAAATTTGAGGCATGACCTTTATTTTTGTAGTTTTTTGGAAAAACATCACCTAGATTTGCATGTTATTGTGCTTGGTAAACAGCCAGCAATGTAAACCATTATAATAATATAGAAACATTTAAACAGTGAAGCATAACTACACATAAACGTGTCGAACACAAGCACAAAAGCAAAGCAGCTCTTTGCCATGAAATGAACAGATATATGAGTCATTCGACACACCACACAGAAAGGCCATGTTTAGTCCTCAAGCAGAAGGAACATGAGCACACAAAAAGCTTGCTTTACGTTCAGATGGAGATGGGCAGCTTCTGTGTGATTTCTGAGAAAGGCTTCCCTCTTAAACAAGCCTAAAATGGCCCTGATGCATGTGAACAATAAGAACTCCTGAAGACCTATTAAGTGTTGTTTGCTCCCCCCAGTATCCTGGTTCGCCAGATATGCAGACTCTGCTTGGATGAGCTGGTACGTCTAGCTGAATCACAGGAAGTGTGCTGAGATATTTGTGTTCTCAGTTAGAGTGCGTCCTCAGTATTGGGGGGTGTCCCCCCTCACCCACTCTGGGAACCAGGCAGCTGAGTCCTAGCAACGACAAGACAACAGAGCAACTGCTTATCTGCATACTGTGGTCTAGCTTTCCCTTTATCCATAAACCACTCCATCTCCTGGGCTACCTGAGTATTCAAGTTGCCTGCTCTCCAAACCATCATCATCATCTCATCTGTGTCTTTGTACATCCAGGTAATAACAGGGAACAAGATGGAAAGAGATCAGCAGGACGTCCTAAATGAAATATTTTACCCCAGTAAAAAGCTACTTGAAGACAAAGGAAAGCAGATAAGCTTGTTTTTTTTTATCAAAAGTTTCTGTATGTAGCGTCTTTGTATATATCTATATATTTTGAAACTTACTTTACAACAAGCTTATCTGCTTTTTAGTGAATAACATACATAAATTATTTAAAAAGGTTGCAACACATGCACAGGTATATATGTATATTAGGGTTCAGGATACTGAATGTATTCTGGCTTGGTCTAAATGCTCCCCAACTCTGTCTCTACAATGAGTAGCAACACCAGGTGGATACTCCTGATGGATATGTTTCCCTCTACGGTTGTTGCCCAGTCATGCTACATTGCTGCTGAAGGATTAAAGAGCACCAGTTTCATTTCCTGTGCGTCTTAATCATTTTTGTTCCAAAGAGTCCTTTGGCAAATGTGAAAGACTGCTTTTGGCAAGGCTGTAATCCTGTAAGTGTTATAATGGGGGCTGGAGGAGACAACAATGAAGGGGCAAGGCGGCCACATGACAGGCTAATCAGCAGCACCAATCATTATCCTGGTTATGCTCTGTGGTAACTCAGAAATTATGACTAGCTTAACATCTCTTCTGTAAGTATAATTCAAGGTGCCCCGTCGGTAGCTTCATGGAGGTACACTAAGACAGTCCCAGAGACCAGGAAGACCTTAACTCAAGGCTAGTTCCTGACCAACCTGAGCCCTACTCCTTTCCCTGCCCATTTTGGCTCACAGAAGCCAGCTGGCCATTCCTTCATCTACAATGACAGCCACCTCTCTCCCTGTGCCAACATACACAGTGATGTTGTCCTTGCGTCGCTTGAGTAAGCTGCCCTTTAGCAAAACCGGCACTGGAGCAGAAGACGTCAACCCGACTATGACGTGAGACAAAAGGAATTTATTGACCTTTAAGGATAGGTGGGGGCTGCTCGCATTGCAGAGCATTGATGCTGAAGTCGCACATTGCAGAGTGTGGCGCTGATGTCATCAGAATGGAGCACTCCCCTGGTTAATGCACCTTGTCTCAGGATATTCAGTCGGATGGAAGAAAACCGGCGTCTTAATGCTACACTGTGAATACGACACAACAACAAGAGCGACAATAAACAGACATCTAAGCCGACTAATGGAAACTAAAATATTAAGGGCCATCAGGTTTGCTTTGCCCCAGGTGCCTCGAGAGAGGTAAGAGTGGTCAGGCACAGAACACAGTGAAGCTCCTCCATTATTAAAATGCAACCTCCCCACAGCCTGATCAGACACAGGCAACTCTACTGGTCTAAATATGGTAAAAGGAGAGATCTACCAGAATATGGAGGCTGCTGTTTTGGTCAGACCTCTGTTATAAAAATGAACAGAAACGGCTGTTTAAAAAATCCAATACATATTAGAGGATCCTTAGAATGTGAGTTTTCCCCGTCAGACAATATGTCTTCTGATTCTGTTTATTAAACTGCAAACTTTCTAAAACATTATAGAAATCCCTAAGTTACAGAGGTTTTCATTAAAATCGACCTGCAGCTGAATATGTGGTTTTATTGAATTCCATTGATCCTGGGACTGCTTTTAGGTAAAATTAGAGAATGCGGTGCTCAACTTGTGAAAATAAATAAGGCATTTTAAATGTTTATTTTAAATAAATGAAAAGTGCAAACCCTCATTTATATATAAATGCTACAGGGTTTTGAAGTTGAACAAAAATAATACAGCTTTTATTTGCCTCAATGGCTCAGAGTGTTCCCACCGGAGATGAGACTTGTTGTACTTGTTACTTGTTACTACTTCTTATAACCGCTGTCTGCATCTCTGCACTGGGGTACTTGTTTTAAGACACTGGGCACAGTGGGAGCTGCACTGATCAATTAAAGAACGGCACCAGACAGTTGTAAGCTCACATCTCAGGAGGGTAGCTTCTGTCGTACCATTTAAAAGGCTTGCCAAAGTCGGCCTGTAGGTGTCACTCTGGATTAAAACGCCTGTCAAGCTTGTTGTTGTAATGTAACGTCAGGTACTGATGAGGGTTGGCTTTCATTTCAGAGTTTCTCCAGTCAGTTTATGGCACACAGTGATGCAGGAGAGAGAGGCAGGTGAAGGTTCTCACGCACACACACACACACACACACACACACACACACATAGGCCCTTGGGTATCCAAAGGGACACACTTGTAAGGCAAAGCAGCAGCCGACTGAAGACAATGGTTAAGGAGCCAAACTCCTTTGTTTCCTTTTTCTTTTTTGTCTTTTTTTGGGCGTCAGGCAGTGAGCAACCAGGTGATTTCACAGTCCGCGCCGGAGGCTCCGTGTAGCCATGCGCCATTTTTCGTTGCCGTACCGACCAAAGGAGTAATAATAACACATGCAGAGAAGTAAAACACAGGGAGTCATGGCTGGTGGCTTATCCCCATGCTCTGAAGCCCCATGATCTGAAGCTTGAGCGCCTCGTCCTGCCCCCATCCTCATCTCCAGCCTAGCTTCCATACACGCCGGTCTCCTCTGAAGCCGGGAGCATGTTGTTGTTGTGCCCATCTTGCGTCTTCCTCTGGGCCTGTGGTGAGGGCTCCAGGAAGGGTGTACTGGCTGGGTGGTCGGTGGACGCTTGCTGCCGTAACCTGGGGAAGAGAGGCGGTCTGGGCCACTGCAGATTTGCATGGCTCAGGATGTCAGCCTTGCTAAGACAGTGAAGCCACAGCAGGTTCAGTTAGCAACACCTTAGCATTGGATGTATTCCGTACCTTTAATAAGCAACTGCTTAATGTCAGCTTGTGATTCATGGGGTCTATAATTGGCTTTACTGCCAAAAATAAATCTTATTAAAATCAGTTGTGCATGACATTGCAATTCGCAAGGGGATCGTTACGGAGCAGCTACTCAAGCGGAGTTAGCACTGTTACTTCTTACCGTCATGCTAATCCAATCATTTAATTTGACGCTGAATATCCTTCCTAATTATCCACGGTGAAAATGTTTGGACGACTTGCCCAGTAGGTTAGTAACACCATCACCCACACAGATTCTTACTGTATTGCTGGGCCTCATGATCAAACCTTAAGTGGCACTGCTGGAGGAATATAGCGCCCACTTACCTCCAACGCATGCCTTCCTCCCAACGCATTACACTCATCAACAACGCAGCCTCCCGCCCACCCCAATTCATATGGTCCCAGTTACTTGATTTGTTCCAATTTACAGGCCCTGGGTGTCCTTCAGTGATCTAACAGCCTCAGGGTCCAGAGCCAACAGCAGATGTTGATGTTGAGTGATAGGAGAACCAGGTCGTCTGATCCCAACCAAATGAATGCAAGCCAGTGTGTCCTCTGCGATATGGACAGCTGATGTAGCATAGTAGAAACTGTCTTTTTTATTATAAAGTCAAAAAAGCACCTTACAGGTTGATCACGCACCCTTAAATCTGAACTGATCTAGGTCTGAAAAATGATTTCAATGAGATTCCACGGACTGAAAACATCTGCCAAAAGATGATGGTTTTCATCTTTGCTCCACTCTGATGGCATTTCCTTCAGAAGATTCCCAGCAGAGATCACAGCGCCCTGAGATGCATGCTTAGACTGCTACCCCCCCAGAAAAAAAGCTCTATTTCTGTCTTTGCTCTTTGGTAAATGCCCCCACCTCCCGATAGCTTGGCCAAAATCCCGAGCATGTATCGTGTGGAGGCCAGCAGTAAATGAATGACTACTTCAGGGATCCATCTGGCTGATCCGGAACCTCCTCTATCTGCATAGCCCCCTGCTGTTCCTGGGGTCTCCTTTTATGTCCTTCCTTTGAAAGACAGCGGCTGGACGTGGAGCTGAGTGCACGCAGCTGGTATTGCATGCCATCCAGTGCCCTCTGCTGATGAGGGGCACCTGGGGGGAGCTTGGTGAGTAATTCTTTAATTCTGGCCCTCGGGTTATAACACGACGTGCCATCTAGCCTCCTCCCTCATGTTTTCCTGGATTAATGAGGCTTCCCTGCATGCCACCTTTCCAAAGTCAAATACAGCCACACATGCCCGGCCTTGTTATCTCCCCAGCCAATTAGGGGCCTTCCTCCTGATGCTGACTTGTATTATTCATGAGTGCTGGAGCTTCATTATGCGACCGTGTATTTGGGCTTTCTCTTGATTGACAGTCCCGTGCTGTGTGGTTGTTCTGCAAGGAGCCCCCCCTCCCCCCACCAGCCTCCCGTCGTGCCCCAAGGACACCCACTTACTTCTCCCTGTTGAAGATGATGAACTCCTGGCGAACCGTTTCCAGGCACTGCTGCAGATGGGCAGGCTTTTGTAGGGGCGGGATGATTGACAGCGGTGCAGTCCAATAAAGGTGCACACAAAAGAAACAGCTTATTATAGTTTGGCTCACAGAATGATGCCTTAAAGACTGAGCTCTGCAAATCATAGTTTTAATGCAAGGACACGTTAGACCAGCCTCCAACTTTGCCCATTAGTGATCTAAATGTCTCAAATGGCGATGGACAATTTTGCAACTATCTTAAGAACTGATTTACTGACTATTCAAAGAAAATGAAATATGAAAATCTCCTCTGGCTACACGAATAATCCTATCTATAACACAATGTAGTTTTACGACTATGGAAGAAAAACACAGATCTGGGCCAGAAGGTAGGTGCATCAATCTTACAGAAATGTTCAGTAAATAGCACACTATATAAATAACTAGGTTATTGTCTTGGCCTTCACTGGATACAGACATTAGCAGAGAGAATCATGCATTCCAGCCTGTGCATTCTCTGTAATAAGCAAATAAAAACAGGGCCCAACTGACCAAAGGAGAGGACTCTTTGGTTGCGTCACGTGACTTGCTCTTAGCGAGACGTTTCTTCTTCTTGTGCAAAGGCTTAGATTCCAGAATCATCTCTTCAAGCTCGAAAGTAGGGTCACAGTTTAGCCTTCCCTTCTGGACAGAAAAGACAGAAGGACAGGTCAACCTTGGGGTTTCTTCATTTGCATGTGACATGTGAAGGGCCATTGAGCTGTCCACCTCCATGCTTACTCTCCTGAAATAGCAGCTTGGCTGAAATTCATAAATAATCTCTAGGTGCAGAATGAACTACAAAAGAACACCTGTCAATCACAATGAATAACTCTTCAGACTACCTCCCATATTTGAGGTCTGTCTGATTCTGCCTAATTACCCAGAGAAACTCACACGGACCTCCAGACAACTTCAGGTAATTCCAAGATTTCATCCAATAGCTGCCAGACACCATGTTCCTGCCACACCCATCCAGCCACACCCAGTCATTTCTTGCACTGCCTCCCCTGAATATTAACGCACACCCGAAGCTCATCAACCTGGTCAGCTGGCATAGATTAAACACTCTTGGTCTCCTTTAACTACTTGGAGACATTGATTGTCCCAGCATGCTAAGTGTTTGTTACATTTAAAATAAAGATTTCTTATTCATTATTTTAATATTAATAATAAACCATCAATACATTTAATTATAATAATATTGTCGTGCCGAGCGGGGGGAGACAAAGGCGCAGACGTCAGGGTATCAGGGAATACGGGGTTTAATTACAGGTAAGGCAGGCAAAACGCAGACAGACAATACAATGACCGGACTGGGGAAACAAACTGAAACATGAACGAAATACGGAGAGCTAATACAAAACAACCAGAAACAGCTGATCACACGGGGATTCCAGACGGGGTTAACGTGGGGGCGTGGCACACGGAAGGAGCGGACGATCGGGGCAGGACACATTGTTTGGATAAATTTATTTTCTTACTTTACAAATTACTGTTTTGATAAATGTGCTCAGATGTGTTTAGTACAGTATATGCTCTTCTTGTTTTATCCAGTTCATTTTGTGTTTAAATACTAAAAAAAAAACATATTTACGTGTAATTTTTTGGGGCCGGGAACCAATTAATTGTTTCTTATTGGGAAAATTCGATCAGAACTCGACTTTTTGGGATTCGATCTGGAGTTCTGAACAGATTAAGTCCGAGTTACGAGGTACCACTGTATTTCCTCTCTGCTCCCTTTGTTGGCTTTATGATTTCCTGCCTCTGTTTGGACCATGATTTTGGATCACAATTTGTATCTGTTTGCTTGCTTCTCCCTGGATTTCAACCCTTTGCCTTTCTGTAGACCACAATTCTAACACTTGGGTCACCTCCCTGTCCCATCATTACAATTCTAATGATTGCCCCAGCATCTAGTAAGAAAACAATTCAGTGGTCATTTTATTAGGTACATCTGCCTAATACTGGGTAGGACCCTCTTTTCCCTACAACACTGACAAAATTCCTTTTTTTTACATTTTTGCATATATAGCCTTTGTGCTACTTATAATACCTCTGACCATTCCCATCTTACCACTATATGACATACTGTCATATAGTAAGGCAGGAGGTGATGACATCCATAGATATGTATGTATATGTGGTACATCTCAGTCATGTGGTACATCTCAGTCATGTGATACATCTCAGTCATGTGGTACGTCTCAGTCATGTGATACATCTCAGTCATGTGGTACGTCTCATGTTCCTCCCCCTAGGTAGAATTACACATATTTTGGGGCTTAAAAAAATGACAAAAGTGCTTCATATATTGTGTTTTCTGATGTTTCTTGTAAGCCATATTGTCCATTCTGCTTTTTGTTCATTCTTGTTTTGCTCTTCAGCTACTCTGTTCCCAGAATCAATTAAATGTGTTCTTTTTGTGTGATTGAAGCTGAGTCAGAATTCATTCCCCTGTGGGAAGTCTTTTACCTTAATAAGTCCTATGTAGTTAAGCACGACATTACAAGGAGCCACATTTCACTAAACATGGTCTTTATAAAGTACGGCATGCAATACAATTATTTGGATGTTATTTCACACCGGAGGGAATTATTTAGTCCTTGTTTTGCAGCCTAATGCACAACAAAAGATGAATATTCGAGGCAGATGAGAGGGAGCAAGATGTGAGAAAGGGACATAAGGGATGAGAAATGAAAGCCTGTCCATTAAATGTTTGCTTCGCTCAGATGTGCTCGTGGGATGGCAGAAAGATGAAAGCAAAGGTATTCAAATCATTTTGAATGTCAAGCACTACTCTCATCATTATGTCCCCATGCAGCTTCGGCTGAAACATGTGTGTCTTGTGGCTCGTGTTCATAGCTGAGCTGTAAAAAAGCAATGGGCAAAGAATATGTCGTAATCGTCCGTGCTGTATATGTGCCGTTCAACATGGTGGGTTTGCTTCAAAGGGCAGAGACAATGCTGATAGGAATATTGAGTTTGGTCACACCCAGTGGATCTGTCCCTGAGCACAGTCAATGCACAGTAGGCCTTGATGGTCACCATTCATTGCAATTAGGACAATGATGATGCTAATAAGTAATGACAGAGAATAACTCACATTTGGAACAAAGCCAGGGGGGACAGCTTTCTCCAAGATGGCGTCCCAGTTGACATCAGCCAAGTATGGAGAATTCTGGATGTCACTGATGGTTGAAAGCCGGCCTTCTGGGTCTTTGTCTAAAAGCTGGGGGGATGGGAACAAAGGTATGCAGTTACCCTCTCACGAATGAAACTGCCAGAGTGATATCCAGGAGAATAGAATGTTAGCACAGCCCTTGTCTATACTGTGGAACGGCCCCCTGTGTCTTATAACCTGCCGCTTGCCACCATATGCTGGTTACTAAGCATGTTTGGAAGAGTGGGGCACGAGCATATTATGCAGACACGTGCCTGCAGTGCCTGGAAGATGAAGATGCCAAGGGCAATTCCCTTGCATGTGTCAGGTTCATTAGCTCAGAAAACACAACGTGTATGTTTTCAGGATAGAGCACATCTTACTCTGATTATGTCACATCTTGCCTGGGAAATCCCCTTACAACCCCTTAAGGAAATTGAACAATTAATTTGTGAACAAGCTATGCACATTCCCATGGGTATGAAATAGGTGTGTGAATCATTTGCCCCGAGGCCAATCGATTTGATCATTATTATTTAGGGAATGATTGAATGCATTGAAAAGCTTTCATTTCTGCCACAATCTGCCACTGGTCTCCAATCTTTTTTACAATGAGAGATACATTTATAAATAAAATATGGTACTGTATATGGTATATTTTGATGATCTGGGAGGTGGGAGGGTTTGAGGATGCTGAAGTTCCCCCTTAGCACCCAAAGAAACTTCGGTGGTTTATTTAGAATCGTTTATTATTAATATTTGAATTGAATAATATCATTTTTACTCTGAAAAATAAATGCATCAATAAAATAAACCAGTTGTTATTATATGTCTGTCGGGGGTGTTGCAGGCAAAACCCTAAATTTCAGAGCATACTTGCTGAAAAGTCAAGCAACCCCATAGAACCAGCAAAAAGAAAATCTCTGGCACCGCTCCTGACCCTAAGTGAATTTCGCCAATGTAGTGGGGGGGGGGGGCGGGGGCAGGGGGTGTGGTTTCACGATTTAGATACCAGATCTAGGTTAACCTGTGGTACGCCAATCTGGGACGGACTTGGTATGAAAGATTTCATTGAAATAAAGCTGTTTGTTTGGTGTGAAATGGACTTAAGGCTAACATTACTTTTTCCTTACCTAGCTAGTTAGCTACATCAGAGTCTTGAACATTGCTACTCTAGCGAGCATTTTCACTACAAAAAAGGGGTGTTTCCCAAAAGCATCCTAGTACAAATATTATCTTAACCATTACAGAATGTGCTCTGTGTTACAAAATAGGGCCAAGTTTCCTAAAAGTGTCATACTTCCTGTATGAATAATAATGAGCCTATCCTTGCCATCCTATGTTCCAAAAATTCTCATGCCAGCAATTACTTGTTGTCTACCTGCAGCATGTGAGTGTGAGAGCGTACAACCTGAAAGTAAGCGTAACTTTAAGGGGGATTTTGCCTCCAAAAAACCACTTATAACTGAATCTAATGTTACAGATCAATGCAGTTAATATTGCCTTAATAGTCAATTCACCGTGATGCATCAATGAATTTTTACACTAGTATGGAACACTCATGACAGCGTTCAATTACTGATATAAGGAAATTCACCCAATGGGAAGGGTTAAAAAATAAATATTTCAACATTAGTCATAGCTTTACTTTTACTACATCTGTGGAGGGCATATCGGTCATATAACTTCAGTGGTTTGGGTTGTTTTAGTACAGCTGAACGGGGCAGATTCCAGCAGGAACTCACTTTGCGCAGCAGCGACACCATGCCCTTAGACCAGGTGGAGGAGTAGTGCACACGCTCGCCGCGGAATATGTTGGTGATGTCATCCACAGCCAGGCTAGAATGGATGTCGTAAGGCCGCTGAGAAACAAAAACACACAGAAAAGCAGCAGATTTTTCAATTATGACCTGGCTTGCTGGCCTCATAGCATCATTTATATAATTAACACTTACTGTATATCGAGCTATTATTGCAATCAATCCTGAATCCATCTTTGTTTATGAGACCAGAAGGATAAACGCAGCTTTCATTTCCTTCACTTGACTTGTCATAGTAAGTATTAAAAAATATTTTTTCACATTTTAATACATAAATTTAAAAGAACTATGAAAGCAAGTAAAATAAAATCAAAATCATCAGGGCATTTCTGCTCTGTAACCTTAATTGTTGCAATGAATGTTCAATACAGGTATCCCCCATTTAAAGTCCATTCGATCAATGTCCATTAACGGCCGTGCTATAAAAACATACAATAAAAAAATAAAATATGAAACTTCTTAAAACTGACGTTAGGACGTAAAGCACAGTGTTTCGTGTTTTATAAAATATAAAAAGATTATTGCATTATTGTAGAGTACTGCACTGTACTTAATGTTTTCATATTGTGCCATAATAAGGTTTAAAATACAGCACTATCTGCGAAGTATCTAAACTACTTAGTACAACTATTTTGTCTTAGCATTTTACTGTTGGAAATATGCACAGCGGCTACATCATAACTGTTGCAGCTGGCGGTGCTCTGCAGTGCTTACCCATCCACGGAGCAGTTCATAAGCAGTGATCCCCAGTGACCACCAGTCCACAGGGTAAGAGTAACCGGGGCCTCCATCTATGAAGGACTGGAATACTTCTGGAGCTGTGAGATGCACAAACAATGGATGGACTTATTTGAAATAATATTAAAGTGTAAGTTTAATGTGTTGGACAACAAGTTATGGAGAGGTATATGTCCAAATATACTGTGAGGTGGGGCTGGGCGATATAAACATCATTTCATCATACAAAATTTAAGCAATAAGAAAATGAGTAACAGATAAATACTCAATAAGAAACATTGCCTTGCAGCAACCATCAACCTATTACACCACAGAGACAAATTGAATCCAAACCAATCATATTTTAGTGCTTTGAGATGAGCAGAGCACACCACACACATCCATTTAGGTAATATCATGGAAGAGCGATGTGCTCCCTCTGAGGAAACTGAGTGCCAGTGAAGAAAGTGACAGCTCAGCAGCCTCATCTTTTATTTAGGGGATAATGTGGGTAAACATGGTAAAAAGAATTCACTGGTACATTGGTCCTTTTCACAGTTTTAAGTCCAACACACAACAGACTGGTGCTGTGTCTTGTGCCTACTAAAACTGGAAATATTGCAGACATTTCACCACTTCCCCTCCATGAATCGCCACTTTATTGTGGTGGAGGGGTTTATGTGCCTCTATGATCCTAGGAGCTATGTTGCTATGGGCAATTGGCCCTGGTAGAGACTCCCAAGGCAAATTGGTCATAGGTGAATGGCTAGCATAAGTACGAATCAGAGCATCCCCATGATGGCTAATAATACAATGGATCACGTTACCCTGCCCGGACTGGGGAGACCAGGGCCTCACCCTGGAGCCAGGCCTTGGGTGGGAGCTCAAAGGCGAGTGCCTGGTGTCCCAGCCTCTACCCATGGAGCCTGGCCAGGCATAGCCCAAAGAAATAACATGGGTCCACCCTCCTGTTGGCCCACCACCTGCAAGGGGTGCCATGGGGGTCGGGTGCAATACAGGTCGGGTGGCAGTTGGAGGCAGGGGCCTCAAAAGATCAATCATTGGCTACCAAAACTGGCTCTTGGTACATGGAATGTAACCTCTGTGGAGGGAAAGGAGTCTGAGCTGGGGTGGGAGGTAGAGACATACCGACTAAATATATTCTGGATCACATCAATGCATGGCTCAGGCCCTGGAACCAAACTCCAGGAAAGGGGATGGACTCTATTCTACTGTGAAGTTGCTGATAGTGAGAGGTAGGGGTGGATCTACTTATAGCCCCCCAGGGTTCAAATCCAGGGGGAATAATGCAGATTATATCCTGGTCGTGGAATGCTGGACCGGCTCTTCACCGTCACAAGGATAATGGAGGGTTCATGCAACTTTGCCCAACCAGTCTACATGTGTCCTGTGGACTTGGAAAATGTGTACACTCATGTCTCTGGGGGGGGGTCCTTGTACACACAGAGCGAGAGCTTGGTTCGCTTTACCAGCAGTAAGTTGACTTGTTCCCAGTGGGCGGTGGGCTCTGCCAGGGCTGCCCCTTGTCACCGATCTGTTCATAACGTTTATGGACAGAATTTCTAGGCATAGTTAAGGGGCAGACGGGTCTGGATCGGAGGCCTCAGGATCGCATCATTGGTTTTCGCAGATGATGTGGTCCTGCTGACGTCGTCGGGTTGTGACATGCAGCATGCAATGGGGTGGTTTGCAGCTAAGCGTGAGGTGGCTCAGAGGACGATCAGCACCTCCAAGTCTGAGGCTATAGTTCAAAGGATGGTTTGCTCTCTTCTGGTAGGGGATGAATTTCTGCCTCAAACAGAGGAGTTTAAGTATCTTGGGGTCTTGTTCACAAGTAAGGGAAGAAGGGAGCGGGAGATCAACAGATGGGTCGGTGCAGTGTTGGCAGTAATGCGGACACGGTACTGTTCTATCATGGTAAAGAGGGAGCTGAGCCCAAAGACAAAGCTTTTGATTTACCAGTCCATCTATGTTCCTGCCCTTACCTATGGTCATGAGCTCTGGGCAGAAACCGAAAGAATGAGATTCCAGATCGAAGCGGCAAAAAAGAAGCTTCCTCTGCATGGTGGCTGGGCTCAGTCTGAGAGATGAGGAGCTGAGGAGCTCAGACATTTGGGGGGGGGGGCTAAGAGTAGAGCCGCTGCTCCTCCGCATCAAAAGGAGCCAGTTGAGGTGGTTCGAGCATCTTTTAGGATGCCTTCTGGGGAGGTGTTTCGGGCAAGTCTAACCAGGGGGAGACCCAAGGCACACAGGAGAAATTATATATCTAGGCTGGATTTCACCACTTGAAGCACTGTCATCCAGTAGAACATACAAAATGCAAGCCCTTACAATCACAAACACAAGCAATTAGGGTTTCCACTTTCACTCTGAAGAAATATGGGGCAAGTTACACCCTGAATTGGTTACACAGAATGGGACACAGAATTTTATTTTTCATTACAGAACGAGCAACAACTCTGTCAGCAAAGTCAACCCTGTTCCCTGCACAGCAAGGCTGTCAGAAAAAAAACCTAACAACAAACTGTATTGTCTGTGTTTCTGCAACAAAAAAAAAAGTTTATTTTTTTATGATTTTTTAATTAAAATTAGATTTCATTTTGCAGTGCATTGAATTTCTCACTTGTTTCATGTTCTGCAATTCTAAGGGAATTTTAAACAAAAACGGAGCACTGAAATAAAGAAATAATGACTTGAATTGTATTGTGATAATTATTAATATCAACAGATATGAATTAAATATTTTGCCATATCGCCCAGCTATATCGTAAACTTTTCTTTGTTTTTTTGTACAAGAACAAGTACAGGTATATAGGAATTCTGTTTTTCCATATCCAGCTTTGCTCTCCTATCAAACTTGCCAGTAAGATTTGGGATCAGAGCACAGGATGTTTATCCTGTGCCCCAGGGGTTAAGGGTCCTTGCTAAATGGCAAATGGTTACATGACTATTCTGCCAAATCACGAGATTTAAATCAGAGACCTTCCAATTACAGACACAGAGGTCTGACCCACAAAGCCACACACCACGCCCAGTGCACCAGGAAAGCACCTCTGGGACCCTCACACTCATGCCAATGGAAAGGTGACCATGTGCTTATAGCAGGACCTCAGACAGCACCCATCTCTCAAATTTCAAGACTAGTGTTTTGGAGAGCAGAGCAACATGTGACCACAAGGCCACACCCACAATGACCCACTGGCCAATGGTCACACCAGCTGCTCCAACGTCCCCAGCACCATAGCTCCCTGTAAAAAGCCTCCCTGACTAGACCTAGGAAGAGAGCTGGAACTACTGCCTGCATAACTAGCTATTCTAGCTGTTGTGACTGGAGTTTGCATTGGGGTGGATGTTTCTCCATCTCATTTATCTAACCCCTCTGTGTTGATCCCTAATAAATGCAGCCTCTCCAACGCTGATTCGCATTAACCCTAAGTGCTTTAATTCAGTTTGACCCTGTGACAAATCTTTTTTTCTTGTTCCTACTATAGTGTTCATTGATTGTCACATATCTGGCTGTACATGCAATATGTTTTGCTTTCTGTTGTATAACTTTAAAAGTGGAGCTACCTTTGTTGTGCTTCTGTCTGTTAAGAGCTATGAGCCTCCACAGGCATCTCTATGAGGAGCAGGAATGGGGGTTGACCATGATCCTTTAATCCTGAGCCATATCCACAGTCACCTTACTTCTCCACCCAGTGATTTGCTTGCTGCATCATCAGCTTTGACCATTTCCTAAGAGAGAAGATGCTATCCAAGAAACTAAGAGATACATTAGGGTTTCCACCTTATTCTTTTTAGGTGTATTTGCTCTGTTTTCTATAATATTAGCATGTCGAGGGGGGTTAGGCAACCAGTTAACCTTGGTCCTTAGGTTTATTGTCTCCTCACTCGGGAGTTTTTGGTTCCCATCTGCAGTTGTCTTTTGACATTCTTTCTTTCACATTTCCCTTTTCCCTGTTTCATGCACCATTTTGTATAAATGATGTAGTAATGCATTACCACACACTTTTGTTAAGTGCCTTGGGGCGACAGTATTGTGAAAAGCACTACACAAAATAAACTGAATTGAATTTTTAAAAAGATGTAGGAAAAACCATTACTGAAAGAATTATGGAGCTGGAGCTGCAGTACATTCTGGACGTTTTCAGTGCTGTGGTTCCCTCAGTCAATCCTCAGGAGAGGTGACTAAATTTCTTCTCTGCCTGCTGCCTTTTAAGTAGCAAATCTCAGGAACATACAAGCAAAAGACGGGAAATGTTTCTCGTCTCCCTCAGCATGACTCTGTAGTGGAAGCCTTTTTTAAAAAGTTATTTTCTGAACCACAGATGTCTCCCTACTGCCTGGCCGCAAGACTTGCAGTGTTGAAGCCTGGTTCCCTGAGGGCTTCCTGAATGCCGGATGCGGCTCTGACTGCCTCCTTCAGGCACAGAACAACAGGACCAGAAAGTGGCTTCCGGGCCCTGTGGGAACCTCCTCTGACAGCTTCCCCTCCAACAACAGGGCTGTTCAGAGACAGTTTACAGTCCACTGCTGCAGCCTGTTTCTCATCACCAGCCATACTCAAATATGCTTGTTTTCATATCTAAATTAAAATATTGAAGCACCATGATAAAGAAAGAGAGGTTTGATTTTCAGACATGAGTGCAAAATTGCAATCTGTACTTTATGCGGTCATACTCATGTTTGTAAAGGTACATACTTTATATAATTGCCCATACAAGAGTCTCTAGCAATGTTACTCTGGTGATTTTTACAGATGTTTATGCATGTGACAGGTCTCAAGATCACTCATAAATGCCTTTGGTATTCAGTTATAACTTGGAAAGTGAAATTCTATCTAATCTATTTTAGATTACTGGCTGTAGCAGAAAGTCCCTGACCACAAAAAATTAATTGATTTTGGCTCGTTCCCAAGCATGAAAGCGAAAGCTTGCTGTTTATCGCCTTGTTTCTTGCAGCAGATGTTAGCGTTTGGGGGAGGATTAAACAGTGTATAAATTCATTCTGGTCCAAATCTGATCCTTAGCTTAGGCAGAGGAGGTGAAAATAAAACGGACAAATGCATCATTAAAGAGTTTTTACAACCAAGCTTTGTGTGAAAATTACTAACAGATGCAATGAAGGGTATTGGGCCTTCATGCGTTGGAAGGGACATTTGCCACTTGTAAAGATGGATATTTCCATCACTTTTCAAGTCTGGAACACAAAATGATGTCTAATAAACTTTGCAAGGGTGACAGTGCCTGATTTCCCAAATATGAAAGTACTGATTCGGGCCAGAAATTGTTTCTGTCACCAATGATCCATTATGCAGCGTCTTTGAAAATGGGGAGAGGGTTAGGGGCTGCCTTTGAAGATGGACCACCAGCTCTTCTGATCGTCTGTGGGCTTTTCATCTCTCTGATAAAAATCTTTTGCTTAAGCATCACTCATTTGGCACATTTATCAGACATTGTGTGACCTCCTTGTGGAGGTGGACTTGAAGAACGTGATAAAAACCACTGTGTGAATTTACAACTCGGTACAATGATACAGGGGAAAAATCTTCCTCAGCAAAACCACATTTCCCTTCTCCTTTTCAGTTTTAACTAAGAGTCTCACGTTTTAAGTAAAGATCAGAATGAGAATTGTATCACATGTTATAACGCAAATAGTGGTGCAGCCCCAGTCCCACTCACCCATATAGGGTTTGGTTCCAGCCATGGACATTGCCTTCTCGGAGTCCTTCAAAACAGTGGCGATATTGAAGTCTGTGACATGCACGTGACCTGCAGGGAACAAAAAGGAGAGCCGCTGTCTGTTTAGAACCTTGTTTTGCCCCAAGCATGGGCCTCCAGGTCCAGCTGAACACCCAGCTGGGTTGGATAGAGCTTTGGAGCTTAACCAGAACAACAGTGACATACTGTATGGTCGTCGTTTTACTGTTTTTTCATTATAATAAATGAGACTGAATGTTAGGCAGTGCCAATGATTGTGTGCCTAAATAAAGACACGGAATTCACTGTGCTGTGCTATTTGCTCAAATGTGTGCTACTGGCCTGTGATGAACTCACGTCCCTTCCAGTGTAGATTCTCTGTATGCCTCCTATTATAAGCTCTGGAACCCTGTAGAACTACCCTGATTAGAAAAACAGGCACTGAAAACCTTCAAGCATAATCTGAATATAATATACACATATATAGGGTGGGTCAAAAGTAGTTTCTTTTTTTTTTTACAAAGTAAATGTTCTATTTGCAAAGTAAAGTTTTAATTTTGCAAAGTTATTCTTAAAAGTATGTATGCAGTTTTTATTTTACAGTACTTATTGGGTCATATTTAGCCTCTTAGTTGTTTGAAATGTTCTCCGTCAACATTGATACATTCCTAGAGCCTGTCCCTGACACTGTGACATACGTTAGCTAACTCGACAGCACTTTTCCATAGCGCTGGATCAGGTCGACGGGGCAGCATTGACTGGCCACCACGTTCATCTGACCGGACACCTGTGGAGTTTTTCTGGGGGCATAGTAAAGGAGAAGGTTTTTGAGAGGAAGCCCCACACAGTGGGGGAATTGAAGGAGTTCATCTTGCAAGCATTTGTGGGCATTGATGCTAACTGGGATTTGTGTGCTAAAGTTTGTCACAGTGTCAGAAACAGGCTCTAGTAATGTAACAAACACTGACATTATGAACGCCCAAGAAACTAAACATGACCCAAAGAGTGTAAAATTAAAATTGCATACCTACTTTTTTTATAGTGGCTCAGTATGTAACACTGTAGGCTCAGTTGTTGGTTTCATTTATGCTACTAGTTCAGTAAATGAAAGTCAATTTCCCCCCCAGTCCAAAGACATGCATTCAGGTGATTTAGTGGCTCTAAGTTGCCCATACTGTGCTCTGTGATGACCTGACTGCCTGTCTAGGCTTCTCGAGATATGCTACTTGGCATAAGCTTACAGCTCACCACAACCCGTAAGCTTTTGTGGAAAGTAAAAGGATCGTCATACAGTATATAATATGATATATGATAATATGACACGGCAGATATTGCAAAACATATTGCAGAACTGGGGCAATGCCGTGAGAGTGGTAAGTTCAGGCCAACAAAGAGAGGTTCCCCCAGCCCTTCACCCTGAGCTCAACAAGTGCTTCCATCTGTATGTCTGTCCATTCACCCTTAACATGAGCATTTTGTCTCGCTGGTTTGACATTAACTCCCTTCAAACCAAAGACCACCATGATGAGCTTCTAATAATTCTGGGATAAAATATTACACAGTAATATATTGCTGCTCTGAGGGTTTATGAAGAAGGGAGTATTTAGCAAACAGTTTTAAGAGCCATCAAAATTTATAATGTCCAAGAGGGAGGGAGTGGATTTTGATTGTTCTTCATAAATCAGTGTCCACATGACATTCAGTAGTCTGAGAATTATTTTCTTGGCTCATGTGCTTCCAGTGAATCCAGTGAAGTTACTGGCATTGTGTAACGATTTTTTGATTGTTGAAAATACTGCAGGCGATGTAATGTAATTACATTGATTTTATTTATTTTTTTTACCTTTCATGCATCTGTTCGTTTATGGTCCATTATTTCTTATGAAGCATTAGGTAATACACAAGTGCCACTATTAGTTTCACCAATAGTTTGGCATTTATCCGTCAGAACGCCATGCACTCAGCATCAGGATGTAGAGGAGCAACTTGAACAAGCTAAGGACTGAATCAAGTTTCCTCCTTCCCCCACCTTTCACATTTCTGTGATTTTCTATGATTATCTATGTTTGCCTTGAAGACCAGTCCAAGGCTGGAGCTTAATATCTCTGAGCCAGCTGGAGCACAGGCTGCTGGGTAAGGGAAGCTCACTGCAGGACTTAGCCACTGAACGTGAGGCTAAAATGCAACAGAAATGACCCATAGCAGATCTGTGTAGGTAGTAGTGCTTCGGGGACGACATTCCGGATTAAATGCATGCTAGTCTGATGGAAATCTAGTAAACAAACAAGGCATGAAATTAGTGTGTAACGTTTCATAAGTTTTTAAAAGAAAGTAATGCGGTCCTTTAGCTCAACTTACCATGCTCATCCAGAAGAATGTTATCTGGTTTTATATCTCTGGAAAGGGAAAACAGAAGGAAAGGTACGTATGAGACATACTGTCCTATAAATGCATACTGAGTTCATTTATCAGGTATTAGCCAGTTGTACACTGATGGGGAGAGATCCTTATGGCACAGTGTTGACATTGCACTGCTCATAAGAAGCTGCCTGTTGCATTACTGATTTAGCTACCAACACACACACACACACAGTAATTCATCAGATGTCAAGATAGATGCATATCAGGGGGAGGCGGGAGTATTTTTAGACAGGCAAATTGCATTTGCATCTCAATTTTAATGAGTGTGCAGTCCAATTAAAACGAAGTGAAGAATTTGCATAAACATTCCCAAAGGGCAATCAGCTATATTTCAATCTGATGTCTGTTCTTAATTGTCTATTTAATGAGACACCACACTGTGGTATCTGCTATACGGGTACGCAAGATAAATCAGAGCCTTTTAGAAATCAAGATAGTCAAGTCTTTGTGAAGAGGAATGGGAAATTCCCACTAAAATAATGCAAATTGTCTTGCGAGGCATTTATGTAAATGAGCAGAGTCCCCTTTGGAAGACTAAATGTGCCTTCATTTCCATTTCCGTACCCAGGATTCCATTTCTGCGAACTTGAAGTGACGTCCAAAGGTGAAGGCATGAAATAAACGAGGAAATCCGAGACTATACCCAAAGATTATCCATATGTAATTTGTTTGAAAGGGGGTTAAATGGTAACATTTACTTAAGTCCCTATTTGGGTTAAATGTAACACATTCCCACACACAGTGGTACCTCGGTTCTTGAACTCACTAGAACTCGAATTTCTTAAAAGTCGAACAAACCAGTTTGACCTAGAACTCGATCTGAATATCAGAAGTCGAAGCGTGAACGCTGACCTAATATAAATTGTACGCACCAGGAAA